ACTAATTACGTGTGGATTTGTTCAAATGCAAGTTAGTAGGTCTGGTGTGGGGCTCAAAATTCTGCATTTTAACAAGGTCCCAGTTGATACCAATACTGCTAATTCAAGACCACACTTTGCCAGGAGCAAGGGCAGGGAAACTAAAATGATGTTACATATGAAGGAATCTGGGAAAAAAGCAAAGCAATGGGAGAAATGGATGAAAGGGGTCAAAAGGTAAAAATAAAGTATTACTGCTTCCCTCATTTAAAAAAAAAAAAAGCAAAGCAAGAAAGACACTGAGCAGGAAGAAACTTCCAGAGGTGATAGATATGTTTGCAGCATAGAATGTGGTGATGAGTTCACGGGTGTATACTTATGTCCAAATGCATCAAGTTGTATACATTAAATATGTACAAAATTTTGTATGTCAATCACACCTCAAAAGTGATTTTAGAAAAGTTTTACCTCGTCTCCCTCTAACCTCTTCATATATAATTTCTTTTTTTAAAACATAATAAAGAAGTTTATTCTTCCTTAAAAAAGAAGAAGGAGAAGGAGGAGAAGAAAAGAATGAAAGGCAGTGGGGCCAGACAGTGGAGGGTAACGCAGAGCAATCTTGGACATTTCAGCTTTCTATCGGCCACTGTAAATGTTTTAGCAAGGGTGTAATATGATCTAATCTGTGTTTGAGGAAGGTGACAAGCAGCAGCGTGAAGGAGAGACTCGCATGGCAAAGAGATGCCTGCCAAAAGTTATTGCAAACATGGGCAGAGGAGGTGAACAGGTTATTCACGTTCTCTCCTCTCTCTCTACTCTGAAACTGGGGCAAAGCTGATTCCACAGGCTGAAATCAAGCTGTGGGAGAAGCAGGTATAGGAGCTGGAGCCAGGAAATACGGGTGTGTGCAGGGACAGAAGGAGGAGGTGGCAGAACAGGATCCACAGAGGTAGGAGGGAGGTAGAATGGGGAGCTGCATCGCTAAGCCTGGCCAAGCCCATCTCTTTACCGTGTCTCATGATGGTTTCCTGCTCTCTGTCCCCCCTGCTCTGGGAAGCAGGCACAGTTGTGATGGGTAAGATTTTGAGCACCGCCATGGGTCGGATGGTGTGTCCCACCCCCCCTCAAATATGTTCAACTCCTAACCCCCCAGCACCTCAGAATGTGACCTTATGTAGAAATAGGATTGTTGCAGATGTGACTGGTTAAGACAAGGTCATATTGGGGTATGGTGGGCCCCTAAACCAACATGACTGTGTCCTTATAAGAGGAGGAGACAGGGACACATGAAGGGAGAACGCCATATGACAATGGAAGCAGAGGTTGAAATGCTGCAGCTGCAAGGCAAGGAGCCCCAAAGACTGATGGCCACCACCAGAAGCTGGGCAGAGGCAAGGACAGGTTCTCCCACATAGGTTCCGGAGGGAGCATGGCCCTTGACACCTGGATTCAGACTTCTAGCCTCCAGAACTGTGAGACAATGCAGTTCTACTGTTTTAAGCCATCCAGTCTGTGGCAGCCCTAGGAAAGTGATACAACTACCCACTGCACTATAGGTAAATTCACTTACAAATGACATGTATATGTACCACTGCAGTATAGGTATATTCACTTATAAATGACATGTATATGTACCGCTACATGTATATGTGTTTAAAAACACAAAAGCAAAAAAAAATAAAAATTAAAATTAAAAAAAAAACACACAAAAACAGAATTTTAAAGGATGGGCTATATTGGTTACACAACATTTTTAAATTATTTTTACTTCATTAATGATATAAAAAATTCTTATCAAGCAATAAGAAGACATGGAGGAAGCTTAAATGCATATTAGTAAGTGAAACCAATCTGAAAAGGCTACATACTGTATGATTCCAATTATATGACATTCCAATTGTATGACATTCTGGAAAAGGAAAACGATGGAGACAGTAAAAAGATCAGTGGTTGCCAGGGGTTGGGGGATGGGGAAGGATGAATGGGTGGATCATAGAGGATTTTTAGGACAGTGAAGTTACTCTGTATGATACTGTGATGATGGATACATGTCAGTATACATTTGTCCAAAACCATAGACTGTACAATACCAAGGGTGAACCCTAGTTTTCATGGACTTTGGTTGATTGTGATACATCAAGGCAGGTTAATCAATTGTAACGAGTGTACCATTCTGTCGATAATGGAGGAGGCTGTGCCTGTGTGGGGGCAGGGGATGAATGGGAAATCTCGGTAGCATCCTCTCAGTTTTCCTGTGAACCCCAAACTGCTCTAAAAAATAGTCTTTAAAAAAAAAATCTTTCAATGAGCAGTGTTATTAAATAAGCTTCATTATTTTTAAAAATCCTGGTTAAATATCATGACACAGAAATGCAAAGATATACTTCTAAGTTCAATTATTTTCCATGGAAGTTTTCTCTTAATCACTGTCATTACCAAAATATAAAATTTAAAAACAATGTCCAGTTTCAAATGGAAGAACTGCATCATTACCTATACTTATTCCAATTATGCAAAAATTTTGTTGTTATATGGCTATTAATTCCCACCTTTCCTAACATCAGTCATGTGTTCTTGCAAACTAATCAGAAAGTGTTACAGTCAGTAAGTTTAAAACCCGCAAAAACTCTTCACTGAGAAATTTTAAATCAGTTGAGAAAATTGTTTCCTGGCTTTTTAAGTGTGAACTTGTGAGAGTTATTGCATCTTCTTCAGGAGCAAAATCACATAATTATGGAATGATTTCCATTGACCAGTTTTCAAAATGCCCCTTTCATAGCATGAGTATCTTTGGAAAAGTAGTTACATTATCACTCCTTAAGAGAAATATACTATTATGTCTTTGAAGAGACATATTTTGTGTTTGTCTTTTCAGCAACATCTGTTAAGTAGCTTACTACTGAAAGCTTTTTGTTATCACAGAAAAAAAGAAAATTAGACACCCATCTTTATGTAAAAGAAAAATGCATAAAGTAATCTTTAAAATGAGCAAAAAATCAGAGGAATCCCTCTCACTGATTTCAGGACTTATTATATAGCTACAGCGGTACTGACTATGTGGTATTGGTGGAGGGGTAGACACATTGATCAATGAAACAAAAAGGAGAACCCAGAAATTGTTCCACAAAACTACAGCCAGGGCTTCCCTGCTGGCACAGTGGTTAAGAATCCACCTGCCAATGCAGGGGACACAGGTTCGAGCCCTGGTCCGGGAAGATCCCACGTGCCACGGAGCACCTAAGCCCGTGCGCCACAACTACTGAGGCTGCACTCTAGAGCCCATGAGCCACAACTACTGAAGCCCGTGCACCTAGAGCCCGTACTCAGCAACAAGAGAAGCCACCGCAATGAGAAGCCTGCACACCACAACAAAGAGTAGCCCCCGCTTGCGGCAACTAGAGAAAGCCCACGAGCAGCAACGAAGACCCAACACAGCCAAAAATATTAATTAATTAATTAATTAAAAATAGTGACAAATGCTGGTGAGGATGCAGAAAACTGAATCACTTATACAAACCTGGGAGGAAAGTAAAATGAAACAGCCATTCTGAAAAACATTTTGGCTGGTTCTTAAAAAACTGAATATACAACTACCATACAACCCAACCAACTTGCTCTTGGACATTTATCCTAGAGAAATGAAAACTCATGTTCACAAAACTGTACTTATGTTTGCAAAAACCTGTACACAAATGTTTATAGCAACTTTATTTGTAACAGCCAAAAACTGGAATGTCCTCCAATGAGTGAAGGATTAAACTTGTGGTGCTTTTCCATCCACACCATGGAATACTACTCAGCAATAAAAATGAACTATTGAAACATGCAACAACCTACATGAATTTCCAGAGACTTATGCTGAGTGAAGAAGGCTAATCCTGAATGGCTATATACTGTATTATTCTATTTATATAACATTCTTGAAGTGAGAAAATGATAGACACAACAGATTAGTGGTTGCTAGGGGTAAAGGAACATGTAAGGGGTGGGAGAGAAGAGGGTATGGCTGTAAAAATGCAACTGTGAGGAATCTTTGTGGTGTTGGAAATATTTTGTACTTTGTATCAGTGTAGATGTCCTGATTAGGATACTGTACTATAGTTTTGCAAGCTGTTACCATTGTGGGTAACTGGTTAAAGGGTACACGGGACCTCTAGGTACTTAATTTCTTACAGTGTAAATCTATAATTATCTCAAAATAAAAAGTTTAATTTTTTAAAGTTTCTAAGAAATAAATGGATAGATAGGAGTTCTAATATTTTCTGCCCACACTCTAATGAATCATCTTTGGCACACCCAGTATGAGAGATCATTGGCATATGCCGCTAGTCCCAGGGTGATAGCCCCTACCCAGTCTTTGGGTCCCTTTAGCTATTCTCAACATTCTCTTGAAGTTATCTTCCTTAAATGCAATCTTGATCACCTTATTTCCCCAAATCATTAGTCTTGACAAATAAGGACCTTCTGGCTTTAGTCCTTTATCCAATATATACACCTGAACACCAAACTACTCAGTTTCCAATGGCACAAAACCCTGTCTGACTGTGAGGTACCTGAGAATGGGCACAAAGACCTCTCTATACTCTTATCTTATCTCTAATTAACGTATTTCTAAACTTATCAGGTACCCTAGCACATATGAGGAATGCAATAAATCTTGATTTAAATGTTTATTACTGGGCTTCCCTAGTGGCGCAGTGGTTAAGAATCCGCCTGCCAATGCAGGGGACATGGGTTCAAGCCCTGATCCGGGAAGATCCCACATACCGCAGAGCAACTAAGCCCGTGAGCCACAACTACTGAGCCGGCGTGCCTAGAGCCCGTGCTCCACAACAAGAGAAGCCACCGCAATGAGAAGCCCCTGCTCCCGCAACTATAGAAAACCCGTGGGCAGCAATGAAGATCCAACGCAGCCAAAATAAATAAATAAAATTTATTTTTTAAAAAATGTTTATTACCTTTGTTTATTACCTCCTAAGAGTCCAGAGGTGTTGATTCTGTGTTGCATTCAGAACACTAACCTGCAATCACTCCTGCCAGGTACACCAGCCCCACGCGGAGGCCTTTGTGGACCATTTCCAGGGGGATACCCAAAACGAGTTGCATAACAAGATTCCCCAGGACATGCTGAATTCTGCAGAGACAAACACAGTTGTCAAATACTATGACTAGCCCAGGCAGTTATTTCCTTGGGAGATTAACAGGCATTGATGTGTTGTTTCTAGTTAAGAACTTGCTTAACTTGAATTCCACTTTCCAATTTTTTTAGGCGACCTTTTAAAAAAATAAAATCTTACATGAAGCCTCGATATGTAAAGCAGATAAAAGGACATTTTAGAAGTACACTTTTATTTTTTGTTATGGCCGCACTGTGAGGCATGTGGGATCTTAGTTCCCGGATTAGGGATCAAACCCGTGCCCCCTGCAGTGGAAGTGTAGAGTCTCAACCGCTGCACCGCCAGGAAGTCCCAGAAGTATACATTTATTTTATAAGCTCTGCTTTACAACAATTACTGATAATGTCAAACAAAGAGCAATGAGGCTTCTTTAAGGAAAATAAGCTTGCAGTTACGGGGTTTAGATGACAACTGCCATCATATGTCAGCTTCGGCATATGCTTTTGTTTTGGTTGCATAGTAGTACTGAGAAAATACTAATTCACTCATGTTGAGTCTAAATTTTAAAAGATTTTTTTTTTTTTTTTTTTGGCTGCATTGGGTCTTTGTTGCTGAGTGCGGGCTTTCTCTAGTTGCGGAGAGCGGGGGCTACTCTTCCTTGCGGTGCGTGAACTTCTCATTGTGGTGGCTTCTCTTGTTGCGGAGCACGGGCTCTAGGTGTGCGGGCTTCAGTAGTTGTGGCACGCGGGCTCAGTAATTGTGGCTCGCAGGCTCTAGAGCGCAGGCTCAGTAGTTGTGGTGCATGGCCTTAGTTGCTCCGCGGCATGTGGGATCTTCCTGGACCAGGGCTCGAACCCGTGTCCCCTGCGTTTGCAAGCGGATTCTTAACCACTGCGCCACCAGGGAAGCCCCGAAATTTCAATAGATTTTTAAACAACCTGTCTTGCAAGTTCAGGATAGTCTTTAATGAAACAGAGATGGGAAGAGAAACTTCATTCCCATTTCTACATTAAAAAGGTTTTTTCTTTTTAAGTTTACCAGAATGAAAAAAAAAGAAGTTACCTAGTAACAATAGCTAAAGTTGGTATCTCCCATGTACCATAATTTGGCATATAACATTTTTGAGTACAGATGCTTTTTATTATACTTTTTAAATAGGGAAAAATATTTTTAAGTGAAATTCACATTATTTTACTTGTCAAACCCCACAAGCATCTCTGGAGAATCTCTGAATGTAATTTAGCAAATTACCACATTACAGTAATCCTTAATTTACTTGCCATGTCGCACAATGCTTTATTTTTTTTTAAGAGATTTTGGGTTAAACCAAAAAGTTAAAAAATAACACAGGTGTTGAATCTTCCACAGAGTGCAGCCGCTTTCATATTAGTTTTAGGGATTGTGTTTTTGAATTCTAACTTACTTAAAAGATATCCAGCAGACCATTGAAGAGGTTCTCTGGGCAAACCCTACGGAACAGATTACTTACATTTAGGCTACATGTGCATCTAGCCACAACTATCACTGTACAAGCCATCTTCAAAGACGTGAGACGTGACCCATAATTCAGCACAGAACAGCCTAGCCAGGACAGTTACACCAATCTTATGGAGACCTCAGACATAAACAGGTTTTTGAAATATGTGCACCTTGTGAATTGGAACAAGAAGTTCAAAGAAAGCTATCCCATCCTGTCCTCTGGGAACAGTGTGAGGACAAAGTGACTAATAGCACAAAACCCCAAAGAATCACCCCAAGCACTCTTTCCGCTGCTCAACAGCTAGAGTAGAAGTTGCATAATGCTGAGATCCTGTCATATACCCAGAAGAGAAATACTAATTTTTTTCATCCAAATTCTATGCACCCTTCAAGGTCCAGCTTGAATCCATGTCATCTGTGAAGCCGCCCCCATCCTGATCATCCCCTTTTTCTGTTTATATTTATGTAGTTAATCCAACATCCATTTCTTTATCCCTTGTCTACCTCCTCCAGTGAGGGTAGAAGAGCTGGTATTGATTTTCCCAATCTCTCTTAGCTAGGGGTAGCCAGGTCACATAGTCCTGGCCAATGAGACGCAGGTAAGAACACTGCTAGGAGACTTTTAAGAGAGCCTCTATCTAAACAAAAGGGATGGATGTCACCAGTACCTGGTACTACCTCTTCCCCCTTCCTGCTTTGAATGCAGAGCTACAGCAGCCAACTTGCAACCATGACAGAAAGGCGAAGGGAAAAGCAGAGATGTCAGCACAGGATCAAGAGTCCTGGCTTCATTAAACAGATGAACCAACCAGGTACCGCTGGGCTTCTTATATGGGCAAAAGATTTACCTACATTTGTTTAGGCCCCTGTTACATTTTCTTGTCACTTGCATCCAAAAGCATCCCTAATTTATACAACCCCATATGTGACATGTCCTACACAGCCTTGCGAATTCTTTTTGAGCACCTTACTATATGTGTCAGACACTGTAAAAATTGTTAAAACCATTGTCTCATTTAATCACAGCAACCTTATGAGGTAGGTACTATTACCCCATTTTAGAGATGTGGAAACTGAGGCACAAAGAGGTTAAATAACTACAGTATACTGTAATACTATACTGCCTTGCATTACTATTTAACTGACTGCTCCCCCTTATAATCTTAAAGTCTTTGAGTGCAGAAGCCACATTTGCTTTGAACATACTTGTTAAATGGAAAACTAAAGTGTGGAAGTATCCACAGAAATGGGGCAATTGGTGAGTTTGTCCCTAACTTGTCAAGCCTCTGAGCCCTGTGTCCTGCCATGGATCCCTATTTAGCCACTGGCCAGAGTTATCTTTCAAGGTCCAGGGCTGGGTAGGTTGCATACATGAAGTTGGCCTCATCTGAAACCCCAGGAGTCCACCAGAGAGGAGGGGCCAGCAGCGAGCTGCTCACTGTCTGCAGTGCGCATGGTGAATCACGGATTCTGAGCAAGGTCAGAAGGCTATTAGCATTTAAGAAACTGTAAGCAGGGACTCCTTTGGTGGTGCAGTGGTTAAGAATCCGTCTACCAATGCAGGGGATACGGGTTCGAGCCCTGGTTCGGGAAGATCCCACATGCCACGGAGCAACTAAGCCCATGCACCACAACTACTGAGCCTGCGCTCTAGAGCCCACAAGCCACAACTACTGAGCCTGTGAGCCACAACTACTGAAGCCCGTGCACCTAGAGCCCGTGCTCCTCAACAAGAGAAGCCACAGCAATGAGAAGCCCGCGCACCACAACGAAGAGTAGCCCCTGCTCACCGCAACTAGAGAAAGCCTGCATGCAGCAACAAAGACCCAATGCAGCCAAAAATAAATAATTTTTTTAAAAAAAACTGTACCTGCCAAAAATGGCAGGCTCCACATCACCTATTGCTTGTATTATTCTAAATGAACATTATTATACACTCATCGAAAGGCTCAGGAATTAATTTTTTAAGTGTTTGGCAGAGGTGGGGAGGATGGCACTGATGATTCACATTTTCAAAGGAACATTTAACAACATCACACAGCTTGAGGAACACACTTTTGGTTTGGTAACGATTTCTCTTCTCATTAATGTTCCTACATACATACCAATATTAGGCAGTTACAATGCAATACAAAGTACACTGGACCTAGAGTTAGCACTAATGGGTTGAGATCCTCACTCTACAACTTAGCTGTGGGACACGGAGCAAGAGTCTACATCCCGTGAGCCTCAGACACGAAACAGCAGGAGTAATACATGACTCCTAGGGTTGCCATGAGGATCAAACAAGATTATGGACGTGAAAGTGCCTGATCAATAATAAAGCACCGGGCTTCCCTGGTGGCGCAGTGGTTGAGAGTCCGCCTGCCGATGCAGGGGACATGGGTTCGTGCCCCGGTCCGGGAAGATCCCACGTGCCGCGGAGCGGCTGGGCCTGTGAGCCATGGCCGCTGGGCCTGTGCGTCCGGAGCCTGTGCTCCACGGCGGGAGAGGCCACAACAGTGAGAAGCCCGCGTACCGCAAAAGAAAAAAAATAATAATACATAAAAAATTAAAAAAATAATAATAATAAAGCACCGAACAAACGCTCGGGGTTACAATGACTTATAGTCACCTCTGATATCAGTGACTTAACTGTCAGTCTTTACCCAGCATGCACCAGCATGTATGAGATAAACCTCCAGGCTTCCTCCCTCTTCTCAGGACTGTAGATAAAGGGACTCTCCAAGATGCCCGAGTCCAAGGTGATTCACTGTTTCTGCGGCTTCCACACAGCATAGTAAATAAACACTGCCAGCTGGCAGGGAGGGGCAGACACAGACGTTAACCACACCTTCTGCAGAGAGAGGCCCCATTAAAGCGCACGGGCACTACCTCTGTTTCAAACAATTAGCTCTCAAGAGGGCCACTCTCTAGCATGTGCTCAGAAGATGACAGGAATTCAATTCCCTGCCATATATCTGACCATACAACTGTGGGCACTTCCTCCAGCGATCAGGAGCAGCCATAGACCAAACTGCAAAGAAGAATCTTTCGAACCCACTTTCCCCTCTTAAATACCCACTGCCCTCATCTTCCCACACTCACTATTTGGTCGTTCATTTACAACTTAATGTGAAATTAAGTCACTGCTGGCTTCTGAAGAATAGAGGAGGGAAAGGGAAAAATAGTAACTTTGCAGTGAAGAAGCCTGGCAAATATGACCTTAGCCAAGTGATGAAGGTGAACGTCACAGGGATGTCGTGTGGATGTCCCCTGTCCTCTGCTACCTGACGTGATCTGATGAGAAGGGTACTTCACTTCTGTGGTCTTCCTCCCTCAAACCCATAACTTCAATCTAATCACGAGAAAAACATCAGACATCCCAGACTGGGGGACATTCTACAGGATACCCGGCCAGTACTCCTCAAGACTATCAAAGCCATGGAAAGCAAAGACTGAAACAGGGAAGTGGACTTCGCCTCCCCAGGAGTGGTGCGTCCGTGCACGAGCCTCGCGGGTCTGCGGCGGCAGACCTCGTAAGGTCTGCCCTTACGAGGGGTGAGGGGTAAGGGCAGGGGCAGGGGTGGGACGGCTGCCGCCACGGCCGGGTGTCAGAACGCATTCGACGCCATCGTGATGGCGGATGAGAGGTTTCACGGGGAAGGGTATCAGGAAGGCTATGAAGAAGGAAGTAGTTTGGGTATGATTGAAGGAAGGCAGCATGGCACATTTCATGGAGCTAAAATCGGATCTGAGATCAGGTGCTACCAAGGTTTCGCTTTTGCTTGGAGATGTCTCCTGCACGGTTGCTCCACTGAGAAAGACAGCAAATAGATGAAGGTCTTAGAATCGTTGATTGCAATGATTCAGAAATTCCCTTATGATGACCCTACTTATGATAAACTTCACGAAGACTTAGACAAAATTAGAGGGAAATTTAAGCAGCTTTGTTCATTATTACACGTTCAGCCCAACTTTAAAATTAGCACAGAAGGTTCTGGACTTTCATTTTGATGACAGACGAACAGACAAAACATCAAGGAACAGATGTTCGTATGTTAAGTGTTTAAAATATGATTAAAGGCAAAACAATGATGGGGGATTCATTGTTTTGCAGGGAGGGTTCCAGCTTGGCCAGTGAAAGGGCTTCCTTCCCCTGAGGTCTGCCTGCATCACCTCGGTGCCCCCCACAGGGCCCCTCCGCACAAGCCCATCCTTTGTTGGGTCCTGTCTGCTCTCCAGTCTGAACGCAGTCCTGGCAGAGCCCTGGCCGGGCTGCTGTCTCTGATCCAGGATCCAGGCCGTTGGCTCATGGGTTCTCGCCACCTGGCAGGCCTGGCTGGATATAGACTCAGGTTGGCTCTGGATAGGATAAACCTCCCATTTAACCCCCCAGGGCTTTGGTCAGTGCTCAGAGGGACAGTTTTTTAAAAAATGAGAGCCACAGGGTTGACACGAAGCAGGTTAATGGGAAAGAGTGATGGGTACTGTGACATTTATCGACCCTTGAGATGGGCCAGTGCTGTGACCTGCTTCTCATGTTTTATTTAGTCCCTTCAGTAGCCCATGAGGTGGGCGTTATTCCTGTTTTATAGTCGAGGAAACGGAGGCCCAAGAGACTGCCTGGTTCAAGGGCAGGGGGCGGCAGAGTTGGGAATCCAACCCCCATCTCCTGGTGCCCGCTCTGGAACCCGCGGTCGCACCCACAGGATCGGGGTCCCTGCCCGCAGATCCCCGCTGTGCCCCGTGGAGCCCTGGGGCGTCGCCTGTGGCCATGGACGTGGGAGTCTGGCTGAGAGGAGGAAAGGCCAGCCCTGTCCCCAGGGAGCCCAGACATGCTCTTCCTGTGTCCCCGGATGGATGGGGCTCTGCAGCATCAAAAATGGTCAAGGGGAGGGGATTTTAAGGCCACCGCCCTATGTGCAGAAACTTTGGAGCCTCACTGCAGCCTTCCTTTTAGTGTGAGTTCTCTGTCTTCTGCCCGGACTTAAAGGCATTGTCTATACGTGGTGAGGTCCTGGCAGGCCAGTCCCCCGTGAGATGCGTGGCTCCCGGGCATTTATCTGCAAGTGATGGCCCGTGTCCAGGCCCCTCGGGCACCCCGGCCAGAGCCCTCTCCCCACCCGCTACTGGCCCAGGGAGCAGATTTGGAAGCCGTGAGTGAAATTAGCACACGGGTAGCCGTGAATCTGCTCCAGATTTCAAAATCATTCCAGAGCGTCTGGGTAGACTGTGCTCCCCTGGCAGCTGCTGGGGGAACTCTGCGGGGCCTGGGACGCCGGCCCTCACCATGTGCTGAGGAGGAAGAAACGGCTTCTAGTTGTTGGAGGACAAGACTCCGCCTTTATCGTGCTTGGCTTTCTTATGTGTGTCTCGCTGTAAGTTCATGGCCTGCAGTCCCAACCTCAGTTCTGCGGAGCCCAGGACCGGGCACACGGCCTCAGATGTGCCTTTGTACAGACACCAGCAGCGCTCATCTCTGGCTGGTGGAATGAAAGGGCTTTTGTTGTCATTTTCCTGGGTGGATTTTTGTGTTTTCTAAACTATCTGTTTGGACAATGTATTATTTTTATAATTGGAGAAAAAATAAACAGCATATTTTAAAGCAAAAAAAAACAAAAAAAGGACTGAGACACTGTCACAGATCAGAGTAAACTGGGGGGAATGTGAAAATTAAAAGCAGCATGATACCCTGGGTTCGAGGGTACAAGAGGGACAGAAAGAGGACACTAATGGAAAAATTGGAAAAGGCCAAATTAAGCCTGTAGTTTAGTTAATACTAATATACTAATATGAGTTTCTTAGTTTTGACAAATGTACTATGGAAATATAAGATATTAGCAATGGGAGAAATTGTGTGAGGGGTATACAGGAACTCTCTGTACTATCTCTGCAAATTTTCTGTAAAGCTAAAATTATTCCAAAATAAAAAATTTGTTTTAAAAAAGATTTTTTTTTCTTTTTGGCCATGCCACATGGCTTGTCGGATCTTAGTTCCCCAACCAGGGATCAAACCCGGGCCCCTGGCAGTGAAAGCGTTGAGTCCTAACCACTGGACTGCGAGGGAATTCCCAAATTTGTTTAAAAATTTTTAATTAGGAAATTCTCTGGTGGTCCAGTAGTAAAGAATCCACCTTCCAATGCAGGGGACGCGGGTTTGATCCCTGGGTGGGGAACTAAGATCCCACATGCCGTGGGGCAACTAAGCCCGTGCGCCACAACTAGAGAGAAGCCCGCAAGGTGCAACAAAAAAAAAGACCTTGCATGCCACAACTAAGACCCAACGCAACCCAAAAAATTAATTAAATAAATAAAATAATTTTTTTTTAAAAATGGCCTTTGGCCTTCAACTATAAGTCTTACCCCCAGGTATCCAGTCCTGGCCTACCCTGCAGATTTTAAACTTGCCAAGCCTCCACAATTACATGAGCCAATTCCTTAAAATAAATCAATCTCTCTCTCTCCATATACATGTGTATGTAGATAGATGATAGATACATAGATAGATAATGTGTGTGTGTGTAAGGGTGTATACATCCTATTGGTTCTGCTTCTTTAAAGAATCCTGACTAATACAGTCCCTGATAAGGAAGTTGAGACATCAGTGGGAATTAAGAGGAGGACTTCCTAATGTCCCTAAAGTCACACCCCACAGGCAGCCATCCTCTGTCAATTCCTTTATGAGGCATCATGGTGTGGGAGAAAAAGCTGGGTGAGATAAGGCTCAGGAGAAGCCCAGTCCTGGCCAAATAACTAAGTATGTGGCCTTGGGCAAATCGCCCCACGTCTCTGGGCCTTGCACTCTTTTCTGGAAAACAAAAGGGCTGACTAGACCAGAGTCTGAAACCCACTACATGCTGCCCATAGTAGACATCATTACAGGATCCCATTTTTTTCCTACTGAAATCTGGAGGCAACTTATAATTCTTCTAAACATATGGCTCCTGATAGACCTTACCAATCAATCAAAGTTGGTTCATGAGATCAAACCAATTTGCAACCCCAAAATTATTTGATTTCTAAAGTCCCCACAAACTAAAATGAAATGAAACCACTAAAACTGTGGTCACTGCTGGGCAGGGGAGTTGTTTGAAAAATAAAACTCAACCCTTGCCTAAAAGTGACTGGGAACATAAGAAAAACCTGGGAAGGGAACTCTGGAGAGGGTGAGGTCGAGTTCTGTGTGTGCTGTACTTGCCATCGCCAAGCTCTTCTCTTACGTTTTCCAGTCTCTTATCTAGACGTGATCTAAAGCCGCAGTGTGTGTGCAACCCCCCCAGAGGTCCTTGCACCAGTGCCCACCACCCCGAATGCTTACCTCAGCAATGCTGATGGAGATGATGAACACAGGGGGTGGGAGGCAGTTAGCTCTTTCCAGGTATGTTCTTCACACTGGTTCAGGAAGCATCCATTTTGAGACAATCCTGTGGACCTTTTTAAGCCTGAAGGGATCTTTACCTGCCCTGTCCTCTCTCATTTTCTCCTCTTCCAGCATTTCTTTCATCTCTCTATCCCTATTCAGATTCACATCCTCTTCCATTTCCAAATTATGAGCAGCAGCCATTATCCTGGGTCCACCCTCCACCTGAAAGGGACATGAATGTCAGGGAAAAACAGATGACCCTATAGTGTTTGGGCCATGGCTCTTTCCTGGGCTCTCTGGCACAACCATTGGTTTCCAATGCCTTTTCTGTGTGTTAATAGAAGGCAGCTGAAGATCTGGTGCCCAAATATACATAATATCCATACCCTCGTCACCAGTGTGTAATGGTGAAAAAGTACTAGAGTCTCCCCAGTTGAGGGAGAGGACTCCCCAGAAGTCATTTATGGATTCACCTATTGACACCATCCAAAGGATGGACTGGAAATTTGGGATGGCAACTCTACCTCATATACCAATTCCTTCCCCTCTGCCACTGACTCTCAAAGCAACCACTACTATAAGAAGTAGCTTTGCCACGAGGTGAAGTATCTCAGAGCCCAAACCACGCTCACTGCATAACTGAACTCAGTTTTGTCCAGCTTAAGTAAATAATCTCCTTTCCCTTCTTAGTTTCATCTTGCTTCTGCTCCCAGGCCAAACACAGATCTCTATTTTCTGATTCAGAATCAAAAATGATTTACTGAGCATTGACTATATATCAGGTACTATGCTAGGGGCCCCATTATAGGTTAAAAATTTCGCTTCCCATTCCCCCCTCAAAAATGATTTAAACCCACATCTTCTCCTTCTAAATTATCAGTGTCCTTTCTAAAATGCCACCTTGCCCATTCTGTAGCACTTGGGAGTTAAGTAGACCCTTCCTTACTGGTTCTCCAGATACAACATTAACACCCTCGCTAAAACACATCTTCCCAACAATTCTCTGACATCTGACACTCTTGGCTGAGTTCCTACTAATTTCCACATCCAGTATTCCCTTGAACTCAATCCTCAATATCCAAACACTCAAGGATTTATTCAACAGATACCTGTTGAACACCTACTCTGTATCAGGCCACCATCCCTATCCCAAAGTGTATAAAATGTCATGCAGGAGGCTGAGGTCAATAAAAATTACACAAATAATTGTACAGTTACAGCTGTGCTAGGTGATACCAAGCAGATACATAGGTTACTGAGGCAGCATGTCTATAACAGTGAGGCCTGCTCTCCATACTCTTTCCTCTCCCTGTGTCATGGTGCTAGCTGTACTGTCCTTCTCCTTTTGGTTTAGTTCTGTTATATTTCACTTCTGGTTGAACTATTTAAATCTCTCAATCAAATGTTTTCAGGTCAAAAAAAGGGGTGGGGGAGGCTCAAATATATTAAGGGAAAAAAATAATGTTGCCAGATACTACATAGAGTACAATCCAATTTTTGTAAAAAGTAATATATTGTTACACAGGAAAACATCTGGAGAATTAACCATGATTATATCTGCATGATAGGATTTCACTAGATTTTTGCCCTCTATGCAGGAGTAGGTACAGATTTTGTGTACCCTGAAGCTTAAACAATTAGGGAGGGGGGGTTCTTTGGAAAAAATAATATAAAATTAAAATTAAAAAATAAAAAAATTATAAATGTACATACACTGCTTTAGAAGGAGCCCATGCAAGTAGAAGTCTGAAGATTATGCTTTATTAGTTTCACAAGTAATCCAGCCAAAACAATCCTAAAAAAGAAAAACAAAACAGGAGGTATCACACTCTCTGATTTCAAACTATATAAAAAGCCACATTAATCAAAACAATATGGTACCGGCACAGAAACAGACACATAGAGCAATGGAACTGAATAGAGAGCCCAGAAATGAACTCATACTTATACAGGCAATTAATCTACAACAAAGGAGGCAAGAATATACAATGGGGAAAAGATGTCCTCACACCACATACAAAAATAAACTCAAAATGGACTAAAGACTAAAATGTAAGACCTGAAACCATAAAACTTCTAGAAGAAAACGCAGGCAGCCTGTTACTTAATATCAGTCTTCGCAATATTTTTTTGGATATGTCTCCCCAAGCAAGGTAAACAAAAGCAAAAATAAACAAACGAGACTACATTGAACTAAAAAGCTTTTCCACAGCAAAGAAAACTATCAACAAAGGAAAAGGCCACCTACTGAATGGAAAAAGATGTTTTCAAATGATATATCCGACAAGGGGTTGCTATCCAAAATATACGAAGAACTCATACAATTCAACATCAAGAAAACAAACAAGCCGATTGAAAAACGGCCATAGGGAGAGACTGGTTCAAGATGGCAGAGTAGAAGGACATGCTCTCACTCCCTCTTGCAAGAGCACGGGAATCAAAACTGACTGCTGAACAATCATTGACAGGAAGACACTGGAACTCACCAAAAAAGATACCCCACATCCAAAGACAAAGGAAAGGCCACAATGAGATGGTAGGAGGGGCGCAATCACAATAAAATCAAATCCCATAACTGCTGGGTGGGTGACTCACAAACTGGAGAACACTTATACCACAGAAGTCCATCCAATGGAGTGAAGGTTCTGAGCCCCACATCAGGCTTCCCAACCTGGGGGTCCAGCAACAGGAGGAGGAATTCCTACAGAATCAGACTTTGAAGGCTGGCAGGATTTGATTACAGGACTTTCACAGGATGGGGGGGAACAGAGATTCCACTCTTGGAGGGCACACACAAAGTAGTGTGCACATCAGGACCCAGGGGAAGGAGCAGTGACCCCATAGGAGACTGAACCAGACCTACCTGCTAGTGTTGGAGGGTCCCTGCAGAGGCACGGGTGGCTGTGTCTCACCATGAGGACAAGGACACTGGCAGCAGAAGTTCCGGGAAGTACTCCTTGGCGTGAGCCCTCCCAGAGTCCTCCATTAGCCCAACCAAAGAGCCTGGTACGATCCAGTGCTGGGTTGCCTCAGGCCAAACAACCAACAGGGAGGGAACCCTGCCCCACCCATCAGCAGACAAGCAGATTAAAGTTTTACTGAGTTCGGCCCACCAGAGTAACACCCAGCTATACCCACCATCAGTCCCTCCCATCAGGAAGCTTTCACAAGCCTCTTAGATAGCCTCAACCACCAGAGGGCAGACAGCAGAAGCAAGAAGAAGGACAATCCTGCAGCCTGTGGAACAAAAACCACATTCACAGAAAGATAGACAAGATGAAAAGGCAGAGGACTATGTACCAGATGAAGGAACAAGATAAAACCCCAGAAAAACAACTAAATGAAGTGGAGATAGGCAACCTTCCAGAAAAAGAATTCAGAATAATGATAGTGAAGATGATCCAGGACCTCAGAAAAAGAATGGAGGCAAAGATCAAGAAGATGCAAGAAATGTTTAACAAAGACCTAGAAGAATTAAAGAACAAACACCTAGAACAATTAAAGATCAAACAAACAGAGATGAACAATACAATAACTGAAATGAAAAATACACTAGACGGAATCAATAGCAGAATAACTGAGGCAGAAGAACAGATAAGTGACCTGGAAGACAGAATGGTGGAATTCACTGCTGTGGAGCAGAATAAAGAAAAAAGACTGAAAAGAAATGAAGACAGCCTAAAAGACCTCTGGGACAACATTAAACTAAACAACATTTGCATTATAGGGGTCCCAGAAGGAGAAAAGAGAGAGAAAGGACCAAGAAAATATTTGAAGAGATTATAGTCAAAAACTTCCCTAAAATGGGAAAGGAAATAGCCACCCAAGTCCAGGAAGTGCAGAGAGTCTCATACAGGATAAACCTAAGGAGAAACATGCCGACACATAGTAATCAAACTGGCAAAAATTAAAGACAAAGAAAACTTATTGAAAGCAGCAAGGGAAAAATGACAAATAACATACAAGGGAACTCCCATAAGGTTAACAGCTGATTTCTCAGCAGAAACTCTACAAGCCTGAAGGGAGTGGCATGATATACTTAAAGTGATGAAAGGGAAGAATCTACAACCAAGATTACTCTACCCAGCAAGGATCTCATTCAGATCCGATGGAGAAATCAAAAGCTTTACAGACAAGCAAAAGCTAAGAGAATTCAGCACCACCAAACCAGCTCTACAACAAATGCTACAGGAACTTCTCTAAGTGGGAAACACAAGAGAAGAAAAGGACCTACAAAAACAAACCCAAAACAATTAAGAAAATGGTAATAGGAACATACATATCGACAATTACCTTAAACGTGAATGGATTAAATGCACCAACCAAAAGACACAGGCCCACTAAATGGATACAAAAACAAGACCCATATATATGCTGCCTACAAGAGACCCACTTCAGACCTAGGGACACATACAAACTGAAAATGAGGGGATGGAAAAAGATATTCCATGCAAATGGAAATCAAAAGAAAGCTGGAGTAGCAATATTCATGTCAGATAAAATGGACTTTAAAATAAAGAATGTTACAAGAGACAAGGAAGGACACTACATAATGATCAAGGGACCAATCCAAGAAGAAGATATAACAGTTATAAATATATAAGCATCCAACATAGGAGCACCTCAATACATAAGGCAACTGCTAACAGCTATAAAAGAGGAAATTGACAGTAACACAATAATAGTGGGGGACTTTAACACCTCACTTACACCAGTGGACAGATCATCCAAACAGAAAATTAATAAGGAAACACAAGCTTTAAATGACACAATAGACCACATAGATTTAATTGATATTTGTAAGACATTCCATCCAAAAACAGCAGATTACACTTTCTTCTCAAGTGCACATGGAACATTCTCCAGGATAGATCACATCCTGGGTCAAAAATCGAGCCTCAGTAAATTTAGGAAAATTGAAATCATATCAAGCATCTTTTCTGACCTCAACACTATGAGATTAGAAATCAATTACAGGGGAAAAAACATAAAAAACACAAACACGTGGAGGCTAAACAATACATTACTAAATAACCAAGAGATCACTGAAGAAATCAAAGAGGAAATCAAAAATACCTAGAGACAAATGACAATGAAAACATGATGATCCAAAACCTATGGGATGCAGCATAAGCAGTTCTAAGAGGGAAGTTTACAGCAATACAAGCCTACCTCAAGAAACAAGAAAAATCTCAAATAAACAATGTAACCTTACACCTAAAGGAACTAGAGAAAGAAGAACAA